GTCCCAAAACCACTATATGATTATGAGAGACGCCGTAGTGGAGGGCTCCGGAAATTTAGACCACCTGGGGTTCTTTAACGTGCACCCAAATCTGAGCACACGGGCCTGCAACATTTCCGCCTCCATCGGAAATGCAGCCGCCGCAGCCGGGATTTGAACCCGCGCCCTGCGGGTCAGCAGCCGAGTACCTTAGCCACTAGACCACCGCGGCGGGGCCTCGATGTATCTAGCAACGTATAGATTGCGCATAGCCGAGCTTCATTAACAAGCTCTAGTGACCTTATTTTAATAAATGACGATAATGATGTTCACTTGCTACACGTTGGGGTGCTAAAACAGCAGCATGAAGGAAAAGGCGCCAGCTTTGATGTGTTCTCAAAAGATGTTAAGCTTCGACTGGGACTGTGGGTTACAGTCAACACAATCGGTCAGAATTACTTCTATATCACGCCCTTATTTTCTTCATTGTGTTTGTAGATTTCTCGGGTACAATGTATGGTGATTTACCAGTGTTCTCTTGCTTTATAACAAGCTTTCTCTACGACCTGTAGACCGATGAGCATCAGGAATGCTAATACGATGTTAGCTTGATAGGCGGCGGCGGGATGCCGGACAAAACAAACATCGTCCTTAACCAACCACTAACCAGAAGCAATTTAGACCATCAAGTGTTTAGCACAAAACAGACATGTGATTCAATTAAAACTTATTGCAGCATGCTCTGCACAGTTAGGGCGAAGGAGTGCACCTAGGAAACTGAACAGTGCTGTCAAAAGATGTGCTTCATCAATTAGTCTAGGCGGCTCTTGATGACACATGGTACTCTGCGTTCCTAAAGCTGTGGGTCTAGTGACGATATCGACGCCAAGAAAAGGCTGAGGCTGCCATAGACGACCACAGCGGTCCACCGCCCATCCACCCCATTCTGCATAACCAAAATCTCTTAGCAACTCATCGATCGCTTGTGCAGTAAAGAATATTTTGTCAACAAAGAGATTTGTGACGCTGAAGATTGCACGCAGCGTTGCGATGATAGCGGCTCCATGCACGCAATCCTAGCCTGCTTCCCGGCAATCGTTTCATCCTAATCATTAACGCATTAGTTTGATCCAAATGTTTCATTAACAGCACACTCTCCATGAAAATGTTTTGGACTAAAAATGAGCACAAAAAGCTTTTTCTTCTAATCGATCCCGTTTTGTTATTACCTCTTTTTTGTCTTCTTAGAACTGTATGGAGTTTCGGCAGAATATTTTCGCATGCTTTTAATTGTACCACTCGCTTTCTGACCATCCCTGAGAAGGATTGTGGCTCTCATAATGACGGCAACGGGATGTCTTTTTTAAAAGTACCAATATTTGTTTAGTGAAGCGACGGAAGCTCATAAACACGACGGGACGGCCTGGATACCTGCAAGCACTATCAACTGCTTCTTTTTACGAACTATGCTGAAGTTTAACCTGAAGTAAAATACATATAATAAAAGCATAAATGCAGTTTTTTAGAGCATTCCTTCGTCTTATGGGCGGAAGGCTCATGGAAAAAATTGAAGTACGCCAAGCAGGCAGCAAAGAGCTATATCAGCAGTATACAACTATGACGCTGGTTGTGCCACCATCGAAAACTCGATTGATTTGTGGGGTTTAACGTCCCAAAACCACTATATGATTATGAGAGATGCCGTAGTGGAGGGCTCCGGAAATTTCGACCACCTGGGGTTCTTTAACATGCATCCAAATCTGAGCACACGGGCCTACAACATTTCCGCCTCCATCGGAAATGCAGCCGCCGCAGCCGAGATTTGAACCCGCGACCTGCTGGTCGGCAGCCGAGTACCTTAGCCACTAGACCACCGCGGCGAGGCATCGAAAACTCGTCCATGCGCAAATAATCTTCTGAGAACTGTAATTAGAATGCTGTTCAACATGATGATAACCGCGGCGGGAATATTATGAACTGTGTCAAATGGGAGCCTTTGAAGTATGTGCTGTGGACATAGCCGTACTCGCGTAAAGTGACATATTCGAAGACCATGACATAGCCCATGTGGAAGGGTGGCGTTGCAGGCAAGTTGCATCAATATGTGGCAGCAGCTAAGGTCACGAAGTATAAGATGGTGTCTACACGACTTCAGACGTGCGGCACCCTACTCTACGTGTGCGCAAGAAACTAAAATCAGTCACCGTGCGCTTAAATATGCCAGATGCCCAAGCGAAAACCTGCGGCTGTATGTACTAGCACACAATACAACAGAGGAAAGCAAGTGGTACCGACATTATTGGTGGCAGCGTCAAGATAACCAAACTTGTCTCTTTTACGATCCGTACATTTCATAGCCTACACTCAGCACCCAATAGCTGGAAGACTAATATTGAAGTGCGACCCTTAAACCTACACATAACATTGCTCCAGCCAAACGAACAAACGATTTGTGCAGCCCATTACCCTTCTTCAGTTTCTACCTATGCATGTCGAGGAAAAAATTTCTATACTTTTGCCACCTAATACATTGACAAAATATTGCACATTAGTGCCAGACGATAGGCACAATAGAGAAAGCGTGTTACATATATTTACTGTAAATATCAAGTGAAATATCTATAGCAGCTTAAGAAGAAACACGTCTGCCAGTGCGCTCTTACTTAAAAACTCACTTTTGCCGTAAGGGCGAAGCACGGGATGCGATAGCGTCGAATTGGCGTGCGATACGAACAAATTACTGTAGCTTATTACGTAACAAACATGGCTGCTGCAGCGAGCATTGTGACGTTCGAGCGGACAACGGCCTCGACGCAAACTCGGCGATTAACGCATGACACGTATGAAGCTATGAGACATCAATCTAGTGCAGGCAATCATGCCCTGTAGATGACAAAGCAGCTGACGCGCGTGCGACCCCACTCCTGTGAAAGACGGTTGGATCGATACTCTTCCAACTTTTACTGTCGTCTGCGTCATATCACGTGTGATGGACAACGAACCTACACCACACTTGAAAATGCTGGTCAAGATTTTGTTTTCAGCCAAGGAAAAGTAAAATTTGCATGCGCTAGTAACTACGCAGGAAACGTTTTTGCGGTATGCGGTAAACACCCGACACGTATGAAGCAGTGAGCCACCTATTTGCCCCCTCTATCCACTGTTAAATGCACAAGCAAAGGCAACCAAGTGCTGTAGGTGAGAAAGTACGCACCTGAGAGGCGTACAACCGCACTATGGCGAAAGTAAAGCGGTACTCTTCAAGCTAAGGGAGTCATAGGCACTCCTACTACGCAAGAAAAAAAATTCATTTTATTTTTATTCAGCAAAAACTGTATTATTTTTTGTGCTAGTACCTACATACATACCCAGTAAGGAAATAGATCAAGTCATAATCTTTGTAATATACTTTTTTCGCCTTTACATAGTATGAAATATTGTAAAGTGACGGAATAGCATTTAGACCATCTCCGAGGTAGTTGTAGTACTTGTCCTCCTGTGTCTTCTGCAATACAGAAATCATATACCCAACCCAAGGTCTTTTTAGGTGACTGCAAGATAATCGTAAAGAAACCAGGCTGCATAAAAACAAAAATACGGAGTGAACCGAGTTTAAAAGTGTCATACACGTATCTCAAGTGGAAAACTTTGCCTTAACTTATAGCAAGAGCCATAAAAACAAAACGCTTCCACTTAAGTGTTGCATTAGGCAGTACTGTGATCATTAGGAACTTTTTAGGTATTTTTATAATAAACGGCAGCATAGACTAAGCGTACACTTTACACTGCAATCACAGTGGAAACCCACGCCAGTAGCGCCACCTGAGCGGCGTAAAGGTTTAGGCGAGTAATGGCGTATATTTATTAATAGTGAAACGTTCATAGGCATTCTAGGTTAGATGGTCAGAGGCGTTCTAGTTTGTTAGATGATAGAGCAGAGCAGCGAGAAGTAACACGCACGACCAAACTGGAAAAGAGGTTTGTTTGTTAGCAGCCTAGATACCATGGCACATACCCATTCTGCGGGATTGTCCAAGAAAACATATAGAGGAGAACTGCGCTATACTGCTTAGTAAAAAAATAATGTAAAAGAAGGAAAACATCACAAAGAATACGAAAGAAACAAAAGCCAAAATTAAATGAGCGATATTACAATAAAGTTAATGTGATTTTGGAGCCGATGAGAGAGCTGCAGTTGCTTAACTCGACTGATTGAGACTTCAGTTTTATATGTCATCACATTTTGAAATTACGTTCCGAGTTTATATCTAGCCTGTTTTGCTATTCTACAGATGCCACTTCTATACTGCCCATCACTTTTCAGTACAGTACAATGACGCAATTTACGCACTATGTTTCACCTCTGAATCGCAAAAAAACAACATATATGCCTTTAGTACCGCTGCTGTGCGAATAAAATATTTTTGTCGACTCGAAAAATTCTTTTTGAAATTGAGAATCCCGTGTATGTCGACTAACTTACGTCGCTGATTTCGATGCCCAGTAGCACGGGCTGTATACGGGGATGAGTAACAGTGCTGTAGCGCAGGATGACCTGAAAAAGAGAAACAGGTCTGAATCCTTAGAATGTTTGGCAGGAACAAAGGGCATCTTTACGAACGAGAAATGTTACTTACAACTTGAAACATGATAAGCACGTATCTTATCATGTCTTCCTTGTTTTTAAACCCAGCGAGAAATACTGTGTCACATGTTATGAGCACTTCCGGGTGTATACTCTCTACGTTGAATTTAGCTACAGAATAAGATACGAAATAAGAAACATCTCTATAGGATAACACTTAAGTTCATATTTCCATTACTTACATGAGTCATAACCAACACGGCTGTTCGTATCACGTTGAGAAACCGCCATTCTTTCCTCGAAAAGTTTCCCTGCAGTAGAAAGACACCGATTCACGTTAGCTTGAGGCGTCATGTACTCCACGAGTAAGGAAAGTTATTCGCTATAAGCAGGACAATCGTTACGCTGAATTTGCGGTGTTTGAAACAGTGTGATGTCAAGTCAGGGCTTTGTCACCTGTAAAGAAAATGCCAGAATAGCTTCTTTATTAACAATATGATTCGACCTGAAGTTTAAGTTACATTGGTCATCCAGCTCTGAAGCTGGGTTGGCAATTTCCAGGTACAAGGTAACGTTGCTGCTCTATAAATTAGCCACCGAAACCACTGCCATGAACTCTTGGGCTTTAAATGCTTAAGTTATTTGGGCATGCGATGAAGCGGAGATTCAATGTTCTTTTTTCGAAGTACGTTTTCGTAAGTAGCAATGGCAAAAGTTCTTTAGATACCTCATAGGAGTGAAGCTACTGTGGGTGAAACCTTTGTTGTCCGGAATCCGTGGTAACGATTGCGGGCATTATAAAAGGTACGCACTGTAAACATTGGGTAAACCCACTATTCACCACAAGTCCGCTAAAAATAAAGGCGGCAGATAGTCTGAATAGCATTTAACGACTCGCCGGCGTGATAGCGTATTTCTTAATGGGAATGGTCAAGGCACTCACTGTGTGAAAAAATCACACATTGCTCACATTCTAAGGTATAGGAAGCAGGCTTCATAAACATTTACAATATTGTTTAATATATGGTTGATTTCAACGAAGCCATTTCCTTAAATCCCTCACAGATGCTCCTTTCCTGAAGGGGGACAATTTATAAACTCTATTTGAAAGAAGTATGTCACAAAAGCATGAGAACATTGGACGTGCTGCAAGCTGAGATCTTTCTAACTGGCTCACTCATTGCGGCAGTGTTTACATAAAGGCTTGCACTTAGACCACAGAGGAACGCGTCACTCAAACACTCGCTAATTTTCAATGCCTTCTTTATTAGTGACTTTTAGGTTGAGTTTCAAATATCACACTACAACACGTTGCATGAGCGTGCCTCAATTTTGCTTTATTGACTATATATACCAGCGCTTATAAAATTGGTGCCTAACGATTACTATTTGCAGTACTACACCCAATATAAAACGAATGGTTTCGTTAAGCGAATATCCTTGACAACACGTTCTGATCTGTCAATTTGCTAGGAAAAATCACGCTGTTTACTATCATATTAGAATTTACGCAATGAAATGCTGATAGCGATTGTATACTACCATTATTCACAACTTTTAATATGGCAGTTCAGGGCATACATACCATGAACACTTTCATCCTTCAAGTCTTCAATTGTGTCAACAATGTGTGCCTGGTCACCGTATGTAGACCGCTCACTGGCTTCACCCGGACGAATCTTCAGGTGAGGTCCCACAACGCCTTCCTGCATGCAGAAAGACGGTAAACTTGGCACTGATTGCACAATAATAAGAGATATTTTATGAAATACTGCCAGAATGTTTTACCACAACCTTATCGGCATGATTATTTACCGGCTAGTGCGGATAGAGTGCAGAATCTTGAATAAAAAGGCATCGACTGCCTCTAAAAGCCGAGTGTCAGCAAGCGATTTGAGCGATTCAAAGATCCCAGAAACAATAATTGCCGAATGGCACGTAGACTCTAGCACTACTGCTACGATTGACACCTTCTACGCTGTGAACCACGGCGCTCCTTGCTGATGTTCTTCGTTGTTCATTGATAGTTGAAGTTAGCCACGAATATCCAATACTCGATGGTATTCTACACCAGAGAACACTGATGTTGTGAAACCAGGCCTCTATGCCTAAGAATACTCGCTACAGTAATTCCAGGGCGACCCATAGATATGCGACATCACGTCAGTGCGATGCAGGCCAGGTGGACGATCACGTGATCCTATGACAGGCTACAGGTTCTTGGTAACTAGGAAATTGAATGCAGTGATTCTGCTATCAAAGCCAGCAAAAAAGGTGCTATGAGACAATCACCGCTATATATCCCATAAAAAAATAAAAGCAACAACCACTACAGCAAGCACCGTTCGGTATGTAAGAGCTATATCAACTGTTGAGTGATTTTTTGTTGCATATTATTTTTCAGCATTCGCTATTTTTTGCAACGTATTTATTTTGAGTATCCGAGCTGATATGCTCCCCAACCTCTCCACAGCAGAACAGAACAGAGCAGCACAGTACGTGATTTTTGTGTATTTCGGAATAGGAAGATCCAGTCACTCACCAAGTGAAAAAAAGAAAAAAAGAACACCGATGTTTCGGAATCCATACGGGTTCCTTATTCACCACCTCGGCTTGGTCAGTGGCCACATCTACATCCTCGCAATAATACAAGACCAGGCAAAATTTCATCGAGCGCTTGCCTAAAGTAATTACTTCTTTTTTTGCCACAAAAAATTTGGTTATAGTATTAATTTCGAGTATCGCAAATATTCAGTGTAATAAATACGCAGTCTTCAACCATCAACTTTCGAAACCTGTTAAGTGTACATTGTCGATATTTCGAATATTCAGTGCTTCAGTGACGGTCTAGCGCAAAGTAGAAGCTCTGGTATGTTCTTCACTAAATATACATACCACTCGCAACGCACCGTCAATTTCAGACACTGCGACAGCCGCCAGCTGTTTGGCGTCATAGTACAGGCCTCTCTGGAGTGCTTCTACATTGAACTGCAGAAAGAATAGCCGCAGTTTTGAGTTTCTGTCCCAGTTTGAATTTATTGAGCAATCAATTGCAGCAATAGCAATAAAGCACAATGTTACAGTAAACTCATTCAATGAGCTCGTACAATGCTAATTCTCAACACACAACATAAAGGAAAACGCAACCCAAACAAAATACCGCATCAAGGTATAAGGAATGTTCTCATTGTAACGTCCATCCCACCCGAAAGTAATTTAAAGTGGAAACATCATAAGTGATTGCGTATATCAAAACAGCCATTTCCACAATGTTTTACTTTTTTCTTTTTTGACAAATGCGAAATGTCAGCTCAGCTCTCTGGCAGTGTATTCCAGGAAAGCTACAAAGAATTTACGCTGTAGTTTGAAGCACGAAGAAACATACGTAGTAAATTACCGTCAATGAGTGATAACCAAATATAAGACATTGTAACTCATAAATGTGCTGCGCAGCTTTCAGAAATTGAAGTTTATATTCAGGTCAAAGCAAGGAACTATGTTTACCGGAAAGAAAATCTATATGTTCAACGTCAAAACTCATTCGTCATATAATTATAATGAACACGGACCAGCTATGGAATATTTTAGAAGGATAATTGCTAAGAATTTTTGTAAGAGGGGACGGTAGATTGACAAATACTTCTGTTCGAGTACTTCCAATTGTGTAGATATTGCTTGTGTTGTAAAGAAAAAAATATCTTGGCAAAGTCATTCAAATTGTTGGGGAGTAGATAGACCTCAAAATGGTCACTTCTAAAAGAGTCGCACACCAATTGCGACGATGAAGATGTCCAGTGCTCGAACAATATAATTTTTTCTTCTACAAACATATGAACACTCTTGAAACATTCAAAGTAGCAAATTCATTTCTTACGTATTTGTGCTCTGGAGTACCATCACGATACTTCCGCACAAAAAAATCATCATAAAGAATAAAGCTAGGGCGCAGGTTCAGCATGATTTGATCGCTTATTTTCAGCACTTTTGTGCTTTCATCTCTGCCTTCGAATAGCTTAGGATAAACGATGACGGGATATCCAGGATCTGAAAGAAAAAAAAATGAACTGAAACTTTGACAGCTTACATTTGGTTACCTATATTTTCATGTTACTACCTAGCTCTAAGATTGGAAATCGGATGCGCTAACTTGGTGATAATGTCTACGTTATGTACTAGTAGACACGTACTCTTCATCTCAGGTCGGCTACATCTCAGCCGGAGCTTAAAATAAGCTTTCACCGTGCGCGTTAGATAATGCGACAAAATGGGTTCATAAAAAACCGTACGCCAATGAATTATACGTTTGAGGTGTCACTGTACGAGCCTTTGAAAGTTTTGAAAGATTCCACGGAAATGAGACAGCTAAACTCTTACGTTTCTGATCAACTCCTCTAGTGCTAAAGTTCATAAATTCCTGCAAAGATATCTTATGAGGATGTATTATTGCTCCTTCGTAATTTTCTTTTTTATGCTTTCAATATTCCTGTCAAATTCTTAATTACAGCTTTATATTGATGTATATTACTCTAGAATACCACCAACAACGGACTAAAGAACAAAATAAATCGCTTCTACAGAAGAGACCACTATTCCTAAGATAAAAGGAAGGAAATATGAATAAAATTGTTAGTGTATATGACTTTTAGCTCAAGCAGCATGGTATTTAGAAATTTTGAAATAACCCTCAAGTAATTGTTGATATATGGTAAAGGTTTAAGAAAGACAGCACATATTGTCCGGTGGGTAATTGCTGTAATCGATGTTTTGAGACACAAGAGAAAATAGTACAGTGGATATGAATTCCAAGTGTGTATTTCGTGGACATTACGTGACACTCATCAATTGTAAAAGCCACCAGAGGAACACAGAAATCAAAAATGGGGAGAGCTCTATCCCGTAGAGACTTCTGATGACAACTTCTACACATTGAGCACAGGCAACAATCTTCGAATATGTCTAAAAAAAAAATAACGTCCCTTATTGCTAAATGGAACTGAACCATGTCTAGATGCAAATAAGAGGGCGCTCATGCTTACACTGGCGGCGAAGTTGAAGCTGATACTCATCACGTCGTTGCGCAGGAGAGAAACCAGTGATGGACCAATGTTTATTACTGGAACATCTCAACCGCTGCGATTGGCCAGTGAGAGGCAAAAGATGCCGATTGGACACGGGGACCCACAGTCCGCTTTAGTAAACGTGGACACTGCGATGTTTTATTGTTCAAGAACGCACAGTAGAAATCTTCCAGCACAGACTGGGAGGTCAAGATAAAAAGCCTATTTTTACGGGTTTGACAGTGAGCGGGGGAGACGCAGCTGAGCTGCCGACGAGAGCGGACGCGTTTCGACGGCTCCGTGAATATCGGCTGAAAGCATCGGCTCGCGCGACCATCGCCCCACCGGCGTTCCCCCACTCTCAGCGCCCTGGCTCAACGCAACGCCGCCCAGCTCTCTGGCCCCACCGGCTAAGGACAGACCTGCCGGACGCCCTGGACGAGGCCGTGGGGTCGCCCCCAAGCACTCTTCTTCCGGACACCATCGACGACCTGGACTAACCACCCTTGGTGCCGTTCACTTCAACATTGTGCGTGGGACGCTCGCCAGGACAGTTCCGGCGTCTCGCCGGTTGCATCTGGCAGCGGCAACGCTCCCGTGTTCTTCATGTGAACCAGTAACGATGGCTGCAGCGGAGCTTAAGATGCAGCCATCACAACCATCATCCGCTCCGAAACGCAGTGCGAAACGCGTGGCTGACTCACAAATGGGAATAGATGATTTGTCTGCTTCAGCCACACCGGCAAGCAAGCGGGAGTGCCCCTCCCCGGCAGCTGTCGCCTCGCCTGGCACCGAGTCTAAGTACAAGTCGTCGTAAAACCTCGTGAGTGCTTCGATGTATCAAAATTGTCAAATCGCCTCCTTCAGTCAGCCTTCGACACCTGCCTCAACACCACCGCGTTTCAAGGTTTCTCCATTCACCATCCCACCAACAGCGTATCCGTATGGGTGCGTTCGCTAGCAGACGTTGACCGCCTCACCCACCTGCAAACTCTGCCAGTCACAGCTGATTGTACTGTACAGGTGCAAGCGTACTTGAGTTCCGGCTCGGACTTGCGTCGGTATGTGGTCTCTGGGGTTGACCCAGGGGAATCGCCGGAGGGCCTTATCACTGCTTTGACCTGCTCCACACACAAGATTGTAACAGCTCGTTATATGGGCCGTGGACGCACGTGCCTTGTCACTCTCCAAGGGCCTCGAACGCCACCAAGCCGCATTACGTACTATGGATGCATCCTGAAATTTCATGTGTACAAGCCCGGTGTGGTACACTGCTATCGGTGTTTTCGTACCGGTCACATGCGAGATTCTTGTCCCCAACCCGCAGACACCCCCATGGAGTCCGTCGAGACGCGCACGTACAAATGTGGGCTCTGCCAAACGGACGATCATGAAATAACGTCCAAAGATTGTCCAGTTAAACAGAAGGCTCTCAAAGCCCGTCGCCAACGCAAGCGCCGCCAGCGTTCGGTGACACAAGAAGAAAGGGACGCCGACATTCCGACTAGCAACCGGTTTGAACTGTTGTCCCCCTCCGAAGAGGACACACCAGCGTTGGTAGAACCTGAAAATGCTTGCTATGAAGTCCCCACGTACAGCGACGCCGTCAAGCGGGGCAAAAAAACGTGTTCAGCAGCCTGCGAATACGC